AGGACATGCCATATAGAAGTCACTACATATATTTGATGAAGCTGTCACTTTCGTCGGTGGTGATGATGCTGTTGTTTTCAATATTTCAGAATCTTGCGCAGAACAACTAGACTATCAGAGATTCTTCACTTTACATATTTGTTTATTAGTGGAATGAGATTGAAGAGCATGCGTGAGTTTCACATTTCAGCAGCAAAGGTGCTGCACTAACAAGCTTTTTATTATCATATGAAGTCTTATCATCTCTTTGGAACATGTTTATGGCAAATAATAGCAAGAAATATATATATTATTTTTTTACTTCCTTTTGACTCTTCGATGAACACACTAAAAATAAAAGACATAATTCTAATTGGAATCAATCTGATAACCAAATTAATTACTGGTTTAGCAAATCAGTACTTTAAACATCGAGCTACTAAAGCAAGATGAAGATATCTTTGACCTCCGAAAACCCAAAAGAAAGTAAAAAATACTACACATGTATTGTGATAAAAGTCAACTCGATAAAGTTATTTTCTTTAAATAAAAGAATTTCGTACATGAGTTGATTAGTAACACATCTAAATGTAATTTATTTTTAGGATAAAAGCTAAATATTAAGCTGTTCTCTATCACAGTATGGGCAACATATTTACAAATGTAGAGCCTTTTAATTGGTTAGAAAGATTGAAAGCCTACGTTTTTACTCGTCGTAATAAAATACAAAGTAATGTTTCTTCTCAACCGGATCATACAGGCTGTGTTCCTGTAAAAACGCCAACTAAATTCAATGATTCTACGCAAGATTCTGAAATATTGAAAACAACAGCATCATCACCACCGACGAAAGTGACAGCTTCATCAAATATATGTAGTGACTTTTATATGGCATGTCGTAATAATGACTTAGAAAAAGTTAAAAAACTACTTCAAAACATGACGCCTGAAGAAATTGATCGAGTAGAACCAAATGGTAGTACAGCATTGCATACTGCATGTTTTTACGGTCATTATCATATTGTTGAAATGTTATTAAAAAAAGGAGCGGATAGAGCAATACAAAATCGACATCAGTGTATACCCTTTGATGAAGCCAAAACTAGTGATATCAAAGAACTTTTTCTTCGTATACCAAATAGTAATCGACTTGTTACACAGATTGGTGCTATTGAATGGACATTGATTGATGAAGAAGCTGTAGATAAAGCAATAGAAGAACGAAGGATTATTAAATCTTTATATGAAGATAAAGTTAAAACCTCATCAATTGCTATAATGTTTCAAAGAATTGAAAAAAATTATGTTGATAAAATATTAAATACAGTTGGTGGTATTGAAATTGTTAGACATTTTTTTCAAAAGGCAACACGAGAAAAAGATCCAAAATGGTTGATAACAGCTTATACAGCTGAAACAGATTATTATAGAGTTCTAAATACTGAAATAGCTAATGGTTCTGGAACATGTCAAAATGAACGGAGATATATTATAGCATTAATATCACATCATGATAGTTTAGAAAAATATACATTTACTGGAAATTCTTATCGAGTTATGCATATAAGTAATCATGAAATAGAAAGATATCGAGTTGGTTGTTTGACAATGACCAAATCATTTGTATCATCATCAATTGATCGAAATATTATTGAATTATTATCATGGAGACATGAAGACGCAAGAAGATTAGAATTTGGAAAAACTCAACGCAAAAACGTCGATGGACAAGAAATTAAATCATGGGTAATATGCAGGTATCATATTAAACATCGACGTACTGCATTACATATTGAAGAAATATCGCAATATGCACATGAAGGTGAAGTTCTTATTATGCCATATTCAGTATTTAAAGTGACTAAAATTGACACTGATGTTAAACTCTCATTTGTTCAAAATGTTTCACATGTGACTGAAATTCAATTAGAAGAATGTGATGAGTATTCATCCACATGAATCTATAAGACAATTGAACAATATAAAATATTCGTTTTTACTTGTGAATAATAACAAATTTGGCGTCTAGAAGATGAAACCAACAGAAATAGCCATGATGAAAAGTTTTTCTTTGCGTCTTTACATATTCATATTGTTACTGGGTGTGTTGGTTTAGTTGTGTCTCTGAAAGAATAGAACATTCTCAACCATAATCATTACAATGATCTTGGGATGGATTTCATGTCGCTTATAATGAATAAAGAGAGAATAGAAATACACTGAATAGAGCAAAATAAATGAACAATATTCATAAAGAAAAAGAAAAAATCTGTTGTGAAAACGTTTAAAAAGTTGTCTAGAAGCGCGCTTTTTAAATGAATAAGAACATGTTCTTAAATGATACTGGAGCAAATCATAGAAAAGTTAAATCCTTTTTTGAATTTTTGGTCGGTGTGGATGCTTGAAAGTATGCATGATTAGGTCTGAATGAAGAGAGGATTCATAATCATGCACTTTCAGTTCACATTCATATCCACACGCGTATCTTTATTTTGAAAACATGCAGCATTTTAGAATTGCATCATTGAAGGCTTTGATTTATTGGAAGATTTCGTCAAGATTTATTCTAAATAATGATGTTAAAGTTAAAGTTTATCTAATTTGTAGTGATAGCAAAAGAGAATCATGCTGGGTTCGATAAAGAAAACATATAGCAGATCTACTACTGTTTATATGAATAACTTACCTGCGACGATCTTCCATAGATATTATGTTTTTCCAAGCTTGTCAAACAACCCAACGAAGAAAAACTTTTATAGCTGTTCACTATTTGCATAGATAAAACTCTTCGTAGAAAACCAGTGTTGTACACTGTATTCTGCGAAGATGAAGTTTATTAATTGGAAAAAAATTCCTGAGATTTCAAAACTATCATAAACGAATCTTTTGAATTGATGAAATTCAATAATTGTGTCGAAAAATAATCTTTGACTGGAAGAACAATTGTGTTAGAATGCAAATGTGACCACCAGAATGGAAGTAGGATGTGGAAATATTTTTGTGTCTTCAGTGGCACTTACAATGGAAGGGTGTGAACTGTTGAGCGAAAAGATTGACCATATTCGGGTCAAAAGAAAGCTTTCAATGAAAAACTGACAAATTTAAAATATCACGTGCTGATGGCGTTCCTAGACAAAGATCCTTGAATCTCAAGGTCTGTGAAATTTAGGT